ATAATTAATATTTATTGCTATTTGTTTTGCTCAAGGGGAGATAACTTTTATCAAGTCTTCTTGCTGCTCCTTTTCGTTTTATATGAAATCAATGAACTTCATATATTATTATGATTTTTGTTATGAGAATTACAAGTAGTGTTCGCAACTGTAAACTTATTTCCATTACGAATAATCTTTTATTGGTAATATTTTTTTATTGTTTAAGAAGGTTTTTTTTTAACTCTTAACACATTTCATTTCGTCTCTTAATATACAAACACGCCTTTGTTAAAAATTAAGCCTTTTTTTTCCTTTGCATGTTAGGCTATATCAATTCGATGTAATTCATGACATCAGGAAAAAATAAACGATAAAAAAAACACCGTCAGTTTCTCCTAGAAAACATCTTGTGATGTTTTTGTTATTCGATTTTTTTTAAATAATTTTTCTCTGCGATTCTCGATGTTTCCATTGTTAAACATCAATCCCCTGTCACTTGCATGTAATAATGACTAACAAACATCTGTCCAATTTAACTATTTTGAGTTCTGAACTTTGAAGTTAGCTCCGAGGAAATAAAAGGAAAATAATAAAACAACCCAGATTACTCACTTAAGTAAAAATCCAAACATTGACGAATGAATAGCGTTTTCTATCGTTTGTACAATACTTATATTCATTTTTTCTGCTTATAAATTTGACAGGCAGTTTATTCAGTGGTTGTCTGTTTTTGTCATGCTTCAGAGATGGCTTAGTGTCGGAACACCATCGCAAAACAGACACGTTATTAGTTGAAGTCCTGATACTGATTGAATGACGATTATTGAATAATTGGTTTTACAATCTATAAAAATTAAAACTGTTTAATTAATTTAAGTCAGCCTTACTCCTTTCATACAACGAGAATTTGTCAGTGTGCTAGTCCCAGAAAGAATTCGAATGTATTCCTTAATAGTTATTTTTCACAAACAAAACTTGTAAACAAAACGATTGATTCTCATTGATAAAAAGATATTTAAATAGTATTTTTGTGCGAATTAGTTTTTTTTTTATATCATAAAACATCAAGCTTTATAAAATTCGAATCTGTATTGGGTTTATCTATCCGCATGCCCAAATGGTGACAAAAAGGTGAAGACAACGCGTCCATGGTCAAGGAGATAAAAATATAGAGAACCCTTGGTAATTTCTCATTAATGGATACCTCAGTAATGTTCCTAGCCTCTTCGCGATAGTGTGGTATTTTTGGGTGACATGGGGAGCTTGTCATTATATTATGTTTTTAATCCTTCCGGATTGTCAAACCGACACCAGGAGAGTAAATTATATTGGGTTGACCAAAACGCCCGTCACAGCTGTGTCCTTAGATGTTATTTTAAGAGTTTAATTTAAAATAACGTCATTTTATTTTTTTTTTAAAATGAAAGAAAAAAAATCTCTTTTTGACAGGACACTGACAGCGGTATCATCAGCGTGCATTTTTTTATTTATTTATCAAAAGAGTTGTAGTTTTGTTTATTTTAGAATTGAGGAAACAATAAACAACATATTTTCCATATTACTTTTTTACTTAACAACAATGAAGATGCGTCACAAATGCAATAATGATTTGTAAATTTTCACTAACGTTGTTAAAAATAGTTTGCTTGCGTTTGTACTAGGGATTTATCACTGAATAAGGCTTGGGGTTGTGAACTAGCAAATCAAAACATTAGTTGGTTATAATCAACGCTATGCGGCAATGGAGATAGCCATCATTTTTAAAATATCCAAATTGAACGTGGGAAATTTACATCACAGTTAGCCGTATTTATGCACGATTTCCACATAAGTGAAAAAATAAAACAAATCGAGTATAATTACGTGCTCGATTTTAGAAAAACATTACGAGTGGCGAACAAAAGTGCATAATTTACAACAATGTGTAATGTAAGAGATTGTGGGCCAAGCGAAAATAAACTACTACACACTGAATCAAAAGTAGATTTCAATTTAAACAATCTAATATTGTGTATACAGTAGTATTGGAAGGTATTTCTTTTACTCTGAGCTCTCCTCATAGAACCAAATGAATGATTCGAACAATTACTGTCTCTATTTAGATCAATTGAAATCTGCAATCGACAAAAACATCCTGAATTAAAATACAAGGTTTAGTATTCTATCATACAACACTAGATAGCATATTTTGTTGACCAACCAAAAAATATTACAGCGTGGATCCTCAGCTTTCACCTTTTTTTACCAGAGACTGCACTTTCGAATTACCATTTATTCTAATTTACCATTATTATTTAGAGTATTGCGAGACAGGATTTCTTTGGTAACAAAGAAAATACTGAACTGTTACGTGACACCTGTCTTTTACGGCAGCGAATGTTGGACGATTTCCTCAAAGATGAAGAAGAGACTCGAGGCGACGGTGATGTGGTTCTACAGAAGGATGCTAAGGATATCATGGACCGAGAGTGTGAGCAAAGACAAGGTCTTAGAGAGGATGCAAACAAGGAGTAGGCTTATACTTAATATCAGGAAGAGGCAGCTGAAGTTTCTGGGGGTACATAATGAGAGCCTGGAGAATCTGATACTTACAAAACGTGGTCTGGGAGAGGAAGCAGAAGGAAAGAACTTGTTGAGAGCTGTAAGGGATAGGAAGAGGTGGAGAGCCATGATCGCCTACATCCTGAAAGGATATGGCACATAAAAATGAAGGATTTAGAGAATACCCTTATTTAACAAAAAAAGTTTTTAATTTTCTTGAATACTACAAAAAGATAGCATACTCTACACAAACAGACAAAATATTTTGGGGTGAGTATGAAATTATGAAGTTTGCATAAAAATGACAAGATTACTTGAACAATACGCTATTCAATAATGTTTATGTCAAAAATGACTTAGATGTATGTTAACTACTATAAATCTCTAGTTAGTTAAAGGGATAACATAACATGGCTAAGTGTTGCTTCTGTGCTTTCCGTACAAGTGAGCTTTTTTTACGGGCTGGAATTGTTCGTCTCTTACACAAGCGATTTGGGCTTCAGAGTTGTCCTTCCTCTACTCCGCGCTGCGCTGAAACCCTTCATCGTCGGGCGAAAGAGATTAATTCATACCGTTCCAAGTGTATTTGCCCTTGGCTAGAATTTGAACCGGACACGCTAATCGAATTTTCTGTGCCGATAACCGCTATGCTATGCGGCCCCCACAAAATTTTTAATTAACAAACAGAACGAATATTTTAGCGAGAACTAATTATCAATTGTAAGACACAAAACTTCGCCATTAGAAAGAGAAACATCCTAAGATGTGAGCTGCTAACTGTTAGATGTTTGATTTTAACATCTACAGAAATTTAAGTGGTTTTAACGTACAGAAATGTACGTGTTTTTAACAGCCGAAGGAAAATGCAACACAAATCCGAGGCGCACTTCCAAAAAGCTAAGCAAAGTTTTAAGAAACAGGAACGTTTCTTGAGAAGAAAAGAAAAAGCACTCAAGTGTTATATAATATCAGCGCTCCTCTATGGAACCGAATGCTGGACAGTTTTCTCATAGATGAAGCAACAGATGTGGTTCGATAGAAAGATGCTGAGAACACCATGAACGGAATGTGTGTGAAATGAGAAAGCTATAAGGGAAATGGGAACGAAAAGAATTCTTGTAGTTATAATCAGAAAAAAGACATCTGGAATTTAAGAGATACACAATGAGAAAGAGGGCTTAGAGAATTTTATACTCACATGACATATTTGGCATTTACAGAACTTAATCAAAAGCAAGATGCGAAGAGGGGAAAATAATGAGTAACTTACCAAACAAACCTGTGCAAATGGCTGGCAGAACTTGGAATGGAAGAGATGTGAAAAGGCAGACATTTCTTAGAGCTATAAAGGCTAGAAAGTTGCTGAAAGCGATGATCGCCCACGTCCTGAAGGGACGCGGGAAATAGAAGTAAGTGCTAAGTGAACACGGGAAACCTTAACTGGAATTTCATTTCACTTTGTCTATTTCATTTATACAAACATTATGCTAAATTCAATCTAATAAACAATTTAGATATAATGAAAATAGTAAGTTATTAATCCTGCAAATTTGAGATTAGCAGGCATGAACAGAAAAATAGTATCAGACTGATATATATTTCTAAGGTGTTTTGAAAGCAACCATATTTTTTTCAGCGTATTCATCATGGGATTGAATGATCAGTGCCTTTTTTACAGTTTATCATCAAATTTTACGTTATTTAAACCAGAAACATATTTTTGGATTGTAAGGATAATTCGTTTTTTGTGAGTGAATATTACATTAACTTTTTTTTTCATTTTTAGAATAACAGTGATTTCCTTTTTACATGTCACACTATTTAACCTATAGCTGGGGAGCATAAGGATTTATTAATTTCGCAACGCTATTTACGCGTAAGTGAATGCAACGAACACGACTGGAATTCGAACTCGGCTCTAATTTCTCATTCCGAGCTGCTATCGATTACCCCACTCACACGTCCACATTGATCTTAAGAAAAGATTTGAAAATGACAGGAAACCGTTATTATATCATTTTAAATGCATGTTCTTTCCTTTTTAGGCGACTAACATTTTCAGCTTTTTTCCCAACTCTAGTTCCGATTGTCAACAACGATTGACTAGCAACACACTGCACTGTCTGCAAAAATACTTTGATTCTATTCAAGGAATTGGCTATTGACCTCCATTTTCTTGTGAAGCTGACAAAAATAGAGAAGTTAGGCGGTTGATGTGACAACGGAACCAATTTGAAGAGGATTTTCCTACCGACACTCAATGTTACTAGCCTCCTACTCACTATACTCTTTTACCTACTACTCCTACTACTACTCCTATTTGCCTTCATCCTCTAGTTGATACTTCTGACTAATCTCTTCTTTCCTTTCACTTACTTTGATTTCTTTTGATCCCTTATGTCGTGAAACACCGGCACCAATTGCGTGTGTTTTGGCTTCCCATTTCTCCAACTCTTGCAAACCTCGTTTTCGATTCACAGCCATATCACATTGAAACACCGATTCTTGTTTGATCACCGAAATTAAGCAAGCTCGAACCAGGTCAGTACCGAGATGGGTGACCGGTTGGGAATACCAGTTGTTCTAAGCTTGGATGTGCAGGTGGTGTAATAGATAAAACCTCGAAATTGGAAATTGGAGAGCCAAGTTCCAATTCCAGTCGGGTTTGTTATATTCACTTACCCGCAAATACCTTTGAAAAATGTATGTAAAAAAAATTCTGACAATCTAAAAATATTTTCTGACTTTAAATAATCTGCAAAGGATTGGTAAACCGTAAAAAACCATACAAATCAATCTACTCGCAGAAATGAATAAAGTCTGTAATCGCCAATGACATTTTATAATATCTAACATTTTTCACTAATGAAAAGCTTACCAACTGAAAAGCCATATATTAAAAGTCTTGAAATGGAGAAATATGTGCGATGTGAGATATATTTATAATGTGTAGACTTTATAAATTTTATAACTAAAAGATTCCACTGATTGCAGCAGCTGGGAATTCGGAGCATTTACCAAGATGTTTTTTATGTATGAGTAGTTCCAATAGAGCCAGATTATTTCAGTATATATATATATATATATATATATATATATATATATATATATATATATATATATATATATGTAATATAATCATTCTTATCGAGCGTCCCGATCCCAATGAGTGATTGAAAAATTACGAAAATCTGAGTTGACCTCCCTAAGTATTGAACGTATGTATATACTAAAAAAAAAAAACCCTAAAAAAAACCTCAAAATTGTAAAATCTATTTCTAATTACAAAGAGCCAACCAACTATAAAATATCTTTCTCCATAGGTGTTCGTATATTAAAGGGCGTACAATGAAAAAAGAACTCGTATAAATTTTCCGTTGAACTGTTACAAAATACGTCACTTCACTTTGAACTAATTCTAACTCAAATTCCACCAATTTAAAACGCCTGAATTTTGTCAAATAAACCATAGTTAATATACTGAGAAAAAAAACGTTCTTGCCAATTACTGCGAAGGACGAAAGTACTTGAATATAATAAGAAAAAAAACATGAACTTTGAATGATTTATTCACAACTTCAATCTCAATGTAAAATATAACATTTCATTCGGAAATTCAAAAAATAGTTGAATAGACAGACCTTGTCAATGGAATTTATTAAAACTTGTTTATATATATATATATATATATATATATATATATATATATATATATATATATATATATAACTATCGCACTGTATGTAACATTTTTATAATAAATAACTATTGCTAAAAAAACGAAAGTGATGTTTCATAGTTAGCATTTTCAATTAGAATCGTTTATAACCATCTTTGTTCCTCACCTGTCGAGATGCGTTCGCATCAAAACAAAAATGCATCTTTGTCATGAGTACTTGTTTCTCCGTATGTAACATCTTTATAATGAATATCTGTTGCTCTATTCTTGGTATTGAGTCTTCTTTTAAATTAATGCTATGAACGTTTTAATTTATAACCTTTTTGTTCTTGTTACATTTGAATATGTGTGTGTGCGCGCGCGCACGCTTGCGTTTTATTGAAAACAAATGAATAGGAATATTTTCTAAGTTTTATTTTGTTTCTGAACCGTCGTTACAGTGGCTTTTTATGAGGACTAAGAGCGCGTAGAAACTTGTCCGTAGTGATTATTGTCGCAAGAACCTCCACACCTTGGTCTTCATAAAAGAAATACTGTAAGAACGCTAGGAAAACTCAGTAAACTACTTACAAATTATCCTATGTCCGTCGAATTGAATGTAACATGTATAAAAGAAGGATTCCTGCCCAAATATGTATGTGTGCGTGCGTTGTTTAAAAAGAAAACGTAGATATCTATTCACACACTAACACCCACTCAATGTAATGTTTAAATTAGTAAGATATATATGTGTGCGCATGTGTGCGAGCCAGAATACATATATACACATATTGTGTGTGAACGCGAAATAATGCTGACATATGTATATAATTTATGTACATAAAAACAAATCTCAAAAAATTTTATCACGCCTACAAAATTTACTTAGCTTACAACGTAACTACTTTGCTTATATATATATATATATATATGTGTGTTTTCAGATATTAGTCTTTCACTCCTTTCACATACATGTGTAGCAAAAGATATATGCGTTATGTTTTGTGTGTAGTAATATCTGTATTAGCGGCCAGTCATGACGTCAGTATAAGCCAGGCATTAGCTGGCAAAGTTGATTCGGCCATGTCTTGCTTTTTATTGGTTAGAGAGTTCCGTTGCTAAAATTGACATGGTTTATTGATTCTCTAACATTTTTCCCTCTGTTTATTTTTTGTTCGTTTTTTTTTTTTGTCTTTTTATTTCTTTTTTGACTTATTTCATTTATTGTATATTTTTTTTTAGTTTGTTGTATCTCTGTTTGCTCTTTACTTTAGACTTTTGGGTTATTTTGCACCCGGTTTGTTTCAGTTTTTCTCCCTTTTTCGTTGACTCCAAGATCGGTTTATGTTAACTTTGTTCAGCCATGTTTGCCGTTTTGTCTGTTCGAATATTTCTAAGCCATACAACTTTTATTTATTTTTATATTTTACTGATCATTTCATTTTCTTTTTTTTTTTTTTTTCGACTGTCCATCTTTCAAAGATCAATACTTTGGATGATTGTGTCATGTGTTCAAAATGTGGCTTTCACTTTTATGAGGTAGTATTTCATTTTCAGTTTGACAAACTAAGTACGAAGCTTACAGTTTGGTTTAATATCTACATTTTGCTTGTTTGAAATCGGTCTCTTTCTTTTGTCTTATATTGTATTTCTTTACTTATAGAATTTCACGTGTCATAAAAACTTAAGTTTGAACCGTTCATTTTCGTGCGAATCTAGTCGGGCGAAATTACTGTTATTTGCTTGAACATTTACCCATCACATATTTTACAAGTAGAAGATAACATAATAACCAATTATTCAAATTGCTGGAAGAAAGACAAGAAGTAGGTCGACGGTCCAGCGATATGGTATATCTCTCAATATCATCTCCATAGACCTGAAATATTTTCATTTTACAAAAAATAATTCTTTTAAAATATCTCTATTAAAGGGGAAAGCAAAACGTTAAAATTCTTATGTCTTTATGCACTTCTCGATATACTTCTAAAATATGTGATGTCGTTCAGGTCTCTCTCCGTATGTCTCTCTACCACGTCTATATATCTCCAGTTTTCCGACTTTCACTATGGATCTAGAATATAGAATATCGTAATTCGTGAGTCACTCATACAGATGAAGAAAACCATATCTGATCCGTTAGTATGTGTACGTATGGATATATTTCACCCCAAACAAAGCAACAAAGCTACGCAGTGAGTTACTAAGTGTAAAAGAATATGAGAAAAAAGAAATATTATAAAGGAGCGACAATAATAAAAGATCAGAAATTAAGAAGAGAGAAGATAACAATTGACATTGCAAATAAAAAAGTAACTTTGTGTGTATGTATATATATATATATATATATATATATATATATATATATATATATATATATAAAATTCTCAGATGAATTCTGTGGACAAGACAGATTGGTATCAAATACCATATATATATATATATATATATATATATATATATATATATAGATAGATAGATAGATAGATCTTCTTCCGAGTTTCACTCTCAAGTGAAAACTCGTGTTACGACTAGGCTATCCTTTCATGGCAATCGTTTTTTGCTCGGTCTAGGCAACCTAGGCTTCGAGAATTTTACTTTACTTTTACTTTTTAGTTTGCTTTTAGCCCTTTCTTTTTCTTTCCTTTTCAGTATTGTTTTTATTCGAAGCTGCATCTGGATACGAGTTTTAGGTTTTGACAAGTTGTCTATTGGTTTTATCAACTGTTTTTGTTTTTCTGATATATATATGTGTATATATATATATATATATATATGTGTGTGTATATATATATATATATATATATATATATATATATATATATAAAATATAATATATATAAAAGAAAATTTGCGCGCTATAGCTTCCAGGAAAATATTGGTTAATGATGCTAATTCTTTGTTACATTTAAGACTATTTGGATATTTCTTACCACACCTAAAATATACTTTAAAGATACATCAATATAATGAATAGATCTTATTAAAAGTCTTATAAACTCATTAATACAAAATAATACTAAAAACTATTTATTCAAATGCCAAATCGAAAGGCATAATCGAACATCCAACTTTTAATAGTAAAATGATTATAACAAGTTATTTTCTATATATGATGCGTTCGTTTGTTAATTTTGCGGAAATACGCGCTTAAATGTTTTAGGCAGCTTTGATCAACATTTCTTTTCATGGTTAGCCGTAAGAAATTGAAAATGTATGACTACCTTACACTTCAGTAAAATAATAATAATAATTATTATTATTATTATTATTAAGAATTTATTACAGAAAATACCAAGTTTTATGAAATATTGTTGACAATTACGTATTTAGTTATATAAAAAATAAATAAAAATAATATAAATTTTGATGCTATATTCGATTTGATGTTAGGTATTTTTCATTTCCACTTTTGTCGTTGGCAGCATTTTAGAATACTTTGGCTGCAATGCTAAGTTTCCTAAGTTGAACAAACTGGAGCAATTTCGTTTACGCTTTGCTAACTCTCTTTACCATTGTTGTTTTTAGATCGCTTTCTTCCAGTTATTTTGATGGGCAACAGAAAAATTCAGTTATTTAGAATGATCTTATTTCATTTCAAAAATAAAGCCTGTAAAAAGGAATAGTTTAAATTAATATACGGCCAAAAATAAAATGCTTTTGACAAAAAAAAAATAAATAAATAGGTTAATCACAGTACCTTGTCAGTCGTCTTTAACGAAATATGTATAAAAATGTGGTATGGTACCTGAATGCACACATACATACACACACACATATATATATATATATATATATATATATATATATATATATATATATATATATATATATATAAGGAAAATATATATGGAAAAAAACAAACAAAATCATATATACAATTATCTGTTTTAATATTCATAATTAAACATGACAAATCGACGAT